TTTTTGCAAATAATTTGAGAGAGAAAAGCTAACAACATACTCTTCTTAATAGACTTTTTTTTATTAGTTATAATTTATTAAAAATTACAAAATCGAGAAATAGAGAAAAAGTCATTAAATAGAATGTGAGATCCACCAATTTTTATGTTTTTTAATAAATTATAATTAATTAGAGTGAGTGTATTCCCAACATTTCTCTAATTCAATATTACTTTTTCATGTTAATTGACTACTTTAATTTTTACTTTTAATTTTCTTAATTTTATTTCCTAGTTAGATTAGTTGTTGTCTTTGATGAAGTGTTTGTTTATTTTAAGAAGCAGATTTTGACACTTCGACAACATTTGAATTTGAGTCTTGTGATGAAATAGAGTGATTTTGATTGATTTTTTTTTTTATTATTTTCAAATTTTTGCCTTTTGTTTTATTTTTTCATAGATTAATCCTCCCTTATCTTGAATAAGGTAATATATTGTGGTTATTTGAAGAAAGAATGACGGTGATTTATATAAAGGGGAAAAATGATTATTAGATCCAAATTTTGTATTAATTTTGTTTGTATTTCTTTCTCCGAAATTCATAATATCCAAAAAAAAATAGGAGATTTCTCTGGCATGAACTTGGACATAACTTTTTAAATGATATGCATTTGTATAATAAGGGTGCTTTGTTAGTTGACATGATTAGTTTCTAGATGCATTTAATCTCAAAGTTTGACAAAAGTCGAACCTAATTAATTCTCAAGTTCAACTGCATTCAATTAAAAATCAAAATGAGTCAATAATGTTGGTTTATTCAAGTTAATATGTTAACTAAGAGTTGAAAAGAAATTGACAAATATTTTAGAGACAAAACAAGCATAACATACAAAATTATCAAACCTTCAAAATATTACTAACATTGTTAAATATGTTCCCTACATAACATATGATTTTGAAATAAGATACTTTGGCAAGCTTTATTTTGTATAATATTTGTATCTTTAAATTATGGGTTAGAAATTAAATTGTATAGAGGATTGAAAGTACTTATAATTTTAAAAAAGTAATGAAGAATTAAGTGACTTAATTATGGAAAATGTGACAAGAAGAATGTGGCGACTTAACTAACAATGAATATTAAAAAAAGGTTATCTATTTTTCAAATCCATCAACCATAAATACATTCACACAATTTACAACTTTGTCCCTAATTCATTTTTCACTTAAACCCGATTAGAAAGTCATTTTCATCGTGAGCAATTATGTAAACTAAAGTTAGTTTAGTAAAGTTAATTAATATTAGAATGTTTAATAATTAATCCATGTACGCATTGTAAATTGATATATGTAAATGATGCCTAATGGTGTGTTTGAATGAGGAATTTTACAAATTCAAGGAATTTTAAATTCTTGGTATTTGAATTACTTTGATTTCAATTTCTATCATTCTTAAAATATTTTGTTTGGATAAGTCAATTCAAATTTATCAAATTTTAAATTATTGGATTGGATATAATAATTTAATTCCACCATGGTAAAATTGATTTTAAAAATATATTTATATGTTGAGATTTTTAAATTAAATTTTATAAAAATAAATATTAGCTAATTTTTAAATATTTATAATAATTTAAAAAATTAATATTAGATAATATTTAATAATTTTAAAAATATTTTTGAATATTTAATAATTAAAAACATAAAGAGATAAGAGATAAAATGAAATATATAAGAGAAATAAGAAAAAAAAATGAGGAATTTCAAATTCTTACTTTTTTGGGAGAATTTGAAATTCTACTATTTCAAGGAATTTAACAAATGCTTGAATTTCAAATTCCTTGTAAATTCTCCATCCAAACAAGGTATTTTACCTCAAAAAATTTGAAATTCTTCAAATAAATGAATTACTCCATTTAAATTCTTCATCCAAACACACTATAAATGTTTTATTCACGTACTTGAGTATGCGTTAATTCAATTGGAGTTTTAATTAGTTTAATTTATTGCAATGCTGTCTTTTTCATCTAATTTATATCAAGGTTGTGGCAACTACTAGGCCAATTAGGCATCTTCCTTAAGCCCCCAATTTTTTAAGTTTTTTTTTATAATATTTTTATTAGGTGATATTTATATAATATAATATATTGTGCAATTGTTTTATTTACAAGATTATATAATTTTAATATATACACATAATAATTATTTAAGTATAATTTTATTAAATAATTATTTAAAAATTAGGAAATTATTTTTCATTTATATTATTAGACTTTAACTTTCTCATCCCACCCTTAAAAAGAGACAATTTTTTTAATAATAACAAAAGTGACTCTTAATATTAACATATAACTTCAATTTGATGAATAAATGTAATTCTAATTAAAGTATTAGTGATAAGAGATCACACATTTAATTAAAAAAATTATAAGATTATTATATATATAATATTAATTTATTTATGCTGAAAACCACTTTGAGTAATTTTCAAATTATGCATCCATGTTTATTTTGTTTGTTTGACTCCTAAAAAAATGAAAACATTGAATAAGGATGAATTTAAAAATAATATTAATTATACTATTCTTGTAAATATTTTTAAGTTTTATCAAATGTTATAAAGGTTTAAAGTACATTATTTAGTCCTCAAACTTTTTAGAAATTTTTAATTAGGTCTTAAATTTAAAAAATTATAATTAAGTCTTTCTTCTTTTTATATTTAATCTTTTTATATTTAATCTTTTTATATTTAAGTAACTTAGTTCTTATTTTTAGAAATTCATTTACAATTTATGAAATTTCACAAAATATTTTGATTATCTACATACCTATAAAATCATATTAGATTATTATTTAGTGTTAGTGTCATCATCTATATATATTAAAAATATTTTATGAAATTTCATGGATTATAAACAAATTTTTAATCCTAAAGATTAAATTATAAAAAATAAAAATATGAAGGTTATGTTTTTTTAGTTAAAGAACTTAATAAAAACTATAAAAAAAAATTAGGAAACAAACGATGTATTAAATTTAGGTTCAATTATCATTGTGACCATCTTTGTAATCTTTCATATCTTAAAAAAAAAGACCTTAATTTATTTATAAAAGAACCTCATAAACTCCATCATTAATTTATGTCAAATGATTTTTTTTCCTAATAAATGTATCATTTCTAAAATATTTTTGGCAATACTTGAGAAGAGCATGAAAACAAAAATCATGTTCTCATGTCTTTTGTTTGTTTTTAAATATTTGTTGATTTTGGAAAAATGTCTCTTCTCTTCAAACTTTCTTTATAAACATAACACGATCTATGATATATATGGGCATGAAAATATACTTTGATATATTTGATCATGACTATGTGTTTTATATAAATAAATATATTGTTTGAAATTTGAACTCAACTATAACTTATATATTTGAACAATCTTGTGTTTTTTAAAAACATGTTTGTCACCATTAAAAAGGAGAGAGAATAATAAATTATAGGAGTATGATTTTAGTGTTAACAAATCCAAACATTTTTGCAAAAGTAAAAAAAAAATTATATATATATATATATATTAAATGTCAAAGACGATACAAAAAGTAGAAAATGCATGACAATCCTTCAAACTAAATATTTTATATGTCTAAGATGAAAACTTTAAATATCACATTTAATATATATGATATTTCTATCATATACTTGCGTGTTATTCCTTAATAGATCGAAAAAATAAATTTTTTCTTTATACTTGTAATGTATAAAGGAATGGGGATTTGATTTGCATAAAAAAAAAAGACAAATAGATATCTCAAAGTATGTAAAGTTAGTTAAAAGTCATTTAGTGACATGCACAACAATTTCTTTCATTTTGTACTAAAAAGGTAATAAGTAGTCTCATTGATCATATAAGAAGTAACCATTTGATAAAATATATTTAATGCAAATATTTATTACACTAATAAACACTTAACTCTACAAGGAGTAGGACAAAACAAGTCGACAAGTATTACTCAATAATTTACATCGATCATCTTCACATATCAACTATATAAAGGAGTTTGAACCTCGTAGAGAAAAGAGAGAAATTATTTCATTCAATTTATTATTCCTTTCTTTGTAAATCATTGTACTTAAAGTTTATTACGTCTAGTGTATAACTCGTTATTTTATCTAACTTAAAAGTGTGTATTTTAGCTTGAAGCCTAAAGAGACTTTGTTATTTAAAAACATACTTATGTTTTGAAGCCTGAAGAAACTTTGTTGTTTAAAGAATATTTGAGTAGTTTGCTTGAATAGACAAATTAAAGAACATTTAAGTTGAATCAAAAGTGACTTATAAAAAAATATTTACATCTTTATGAAAAATAATAAAACTTGATAAAATTAACAAAAAATTAAATGTAATTTTAATAGCCGAGATGATCTAATATAAAAATACTTTAATTCCCCTTTTTACTTTACTTACGCTCATTTAGACTTGCGTAACTAATTTGTATAATTGACTCGATATTTTACTATATGTTATGTTACTATGGTTTATATAATTTATTCAATTTAATTTCTTAACTTTCTAAAACAATATAGTGTGGTCCTTCCTGCCCAACTACTACTACAACATTAATTACGAGAAGTTAACATCCGTATGACAAAAATATTATCTTACATTATTTTAAAAAATAAAAAAATAAATTGAACTTTGTATTGATTTTTTTTTGATTCGTCCCTGGAGGGACTTCAAAGGGTGGGATAGCTGGCCCAAGATTTAACGCGGCTGCATACACAAGGCAAGATTCGAACCCCTAACCTTGCTTAAGCGTGGATCAACCTCTACCGCTAAATTACACGCTTGAGGTTAACTTTGTATTGATTAAAGTATCAAATAAAATAAAATAAAATAAAAAAGAGAGGAAAGAGTAATTTTGGAAAACATATTTAAGGCGAAAGAAAAAAATACTAATTTAAGCGGAGATGCATTTAAGCATTCAGATATGATGATGGCCTTGGCATGGGGTGGGGCCAGGTGAATGAACACGACGTCGTTTTTTTGGGAGTTGGTTTCAGTTAAATTGAACAAATGCACCGTTTCTCTCTCTCATGGTGCCACTGTCACTCTTCTCTTCTCCTTTCTGCTTTGCCAATTCTCTCTTTTTTCGACAAATCGGTATCATATTCTTTTCCTAGCCCAATTTGATTTCTTATTTTTCAGATGCTTAGTTCGGATTAGGTTTTTCAACAAATAATTTGGGATTTCTGCTTGCTATTGGTTTTCGTGGTTGATTAAAATCCTCTTATTTTTATTTTTACTTACTAATTTGGATTGGATGCTGACGTTGATGGGTGTTCTGGTTTGTTTTATGAAGTTAATTTGGTTTTTGAACCACCCTTTTGAATTGGGGTCTTGCTGTGAAATGGGGTGGACTTTGATATGAGCTATGCAGAGGAGAAAATATCAAATCTGTGTTTTCTTTTTGTATTCTCAAAATTGTGCCTTTTTAGTCCTCTCCCGATCTTGAATAGGGTGAATAACTGAATATAGTCATTTGAAGAAAGAAGGACATAATATCATAGAAGGACCAAAATGATCGGTTATTAGGTTTACTTTTTATGTTAAAAGAATTGTGTGTTTCCGAAATTCATTATATTCAGAAACAGGAGATTGCCTAGTAAGTTTTTTTTATTTTTTATTTTTTATCTGCTATCAAGTTATTGGAAACTGGGTTGGAAACTTGGACTTGATTTTTTGGCTGGTGTGCATTTGAGTAATGGGGTGCTTTGATAGTTGATTTGATAGTTTCTCCTTTGTCCCAGCATTTCCTGAGGTTGGCCATAGCAGAAACTTTATTGTCTATCACTAGGTGGTGACTTGTGATGATGCTAAACGTTTATACAGCTTAGCTCTCTAGTTAACTTATGTTATGTAGTTGAGTCAATTCATATATGAGCAGGAAGCTAGTTAAACATGTTATTGGTATTTGATTACTGATTGAGCTATCTTTAGTTATATACTGTCAGCTATAGTACTATTTTGTGCATGCCCTCTAGATCAGAATGGTGAGTACATCCATAAATATCTACATTAATCTTCTTGATGTCTAGTATTCTGTACACAAAGGTAGTTGGAAATTCTTCTTAGGAGTTTGGACTCGAGGGAACTTCTTCAAAACAGAACTTATTAAATTCTTGCTGTCTATGAGATATTGTTTGCAAATGTATTTTCTTCTACAGGCCCCTGAAAGATTGTCATATGTAAACAATTAAAACAGTATAAAACATGCATAATAGGCATTTTTACTCGGATATAATAAGTTTCTTTGGTTTGTTGTTTGATATTTGTGTGGGTTGGGGGGAGTGTTTTATAGGCAGACTTTGATTGAATACTGAAAAGCTTGATTTTGTTCCTGGTGGAATTTTTAAGCACATTGCTGTTAGTTTCGAATACATAGGTCATTGTGGCCAATTCCCCCTCTTGACCCAACATACAAATAACTACAAGCAAACTATGCTTCATATTTAGGAAATAACACACATGAATTATAGTATTCGTTATTTCTTTCATGAGTATGATTAAAGAAAGTACTCTCTGAATGCATGGGACTGGCATTCTTGCTGGTTGGCTTGCCCTTCGCTCCCAAAGAAAAATGAAAAAAATGCATTTGCATAGTTGACAAAGTATTCTGGATTCTGGAATATACTTATTAGTTTATTTTGTGATCGATATGATTTAAGAAGTATATGAAATGCATGTAGTATGAGGTTGAATCATTATGGCCGAACTAGTCCACTTGCTCTTAAAAGAATGAGTTAAAATAGAAAGATAAAAGGAAACTTTTTGAGTATCAAAAATGATAACAACTTGATTATGGTTATGGTTATAGTAAGTGTGTGTGTGTCAAATGCATGCAGTGGATTAAGTTGATTGGATATGATCATGAACATGCAGGATGGGTATATGTGATCATGGCTATTGCTTTACTTAAAATGGAGTTAATTTCTGTTTGTGCAACATTTATATTATTGAGTTATGATGTTATTATTATGACTTTTTTCTAATATCTTTTGGATTATTCTTTTTACTCATCCATGACTCTGTCGTACTGGCTTGTTTCAGATTTTATGCTTTGGGTCAGTCGTTAATGATAACTTGACACCTGGATGATGCTTTCTGATTGGTTATTTACATATATTATAATTCAGAATGTGGAACTTTGCATCAAATTGCATTGCTGGAACTGTGGGACTGAAAAATGATTCTTCAAAGCATAATCATTCTGCTTCGGAATGTTCTGATGATGAGACTTCTATTATAGGCAGAGAGGAAGGACTGGAATGCCCGATATGTTGGGAATCTTTCAATATTGTTGAAAATGTGCCCTATGTTTTATGGTGTGGCCACACCCTTTGTAAAAATTGCATCCTCGGACTGCAATGGGCTGTTGTGAAATTTCCAACGCTGCCTGTTCAACTTCCCCTTTTTATCTCCTGTCCATGGTGCAACCTTCTATCTTTTCGTTTAGTTTACAGGGGAAATCTTAAATTCCCTCGCAAAAACTATTTCCTTCTTTGGATGGTTGAGAGCATGAATGGTGATAGAGTGAAATCATCACATTCACCTTTCTGTGGGGATAATCAACAACACTCCATTAAAGACAATTTAACCATGGGATGCCAAGTAAGCCATGGAAACCTTCGGAGGGGGCAAGTCCGCCATCCAGAAACATCAAGTTCCAACCAATATCATGGTAATACTGGTGATCACATCAATACGGAAAGACTTCATGTTTATCTTCGGAAGTCACTGGTCTTCTTTGTCCAGTTGACGGCTAAGTTCCCATTGGTCATTATATTTCTATTAATCATCCTATATGCAATACCAGCCAGTGCAGCCATTTTGGCTCTGTATGTACTTGTTACAATTCTGTTTGCCCTCCCTTCATTTCTCATATTGTACTTCTCATATCCTAGTTTGGACTGGCTTGTCAGAGAAATCATCACTTGAGATTGTGAACTAATATAGGCTCCAACTTTGCAAGCATTGATACTACAAGTTTGCCTCAGCTAGTGCTCCCCTTATATCTTCTACTATGTAATTAGCCGACTTCCCCATTACAAACTATCATTTATCTTCCCATTTAGGGGACCCTCTAATCTCTGTATACTTAAGTCTTGATTTTAGCTTTGGTTGTACTTGGCTAGTTGGTGGGTGCAATGTCAGTTTTTTGCATTAGCATTGATGTCAACCAGGGCTGAGGGATATGGTAATGATAAATGCTTGCACCATTTCCTGGTGGCAAGTATTTGTTTGATTAATCATTAATGTCAAGTTTTGTTTTGTATGGATGGACACATGGATGTTACTTCCAATAGTTATACTATTATTATGTTTGTAAATTGTATATATTAATTGAGTTGTTTGTAAAGCAATGTGTGGCAATACTATCTGCTTAAGTTGAAATTAGTGATATTACTGTCTCTGTTTAAGAAATATATTTTTCATGGTGAGGCTGGCTGTGTAGAAGGTCTAAGATATGTATATCTCACACAATATTGGCAAAGCTTTTTTAATATATGAACTGCTCATGCTACAATCAGTTGTAGGTATATTGGCTCTTGTGTGGATCACAATGACTTACAAAGAACTTGAGCACACTTGTATTTTCTTTGTTCCAAAGAGAACTTCTGATGCAACAAGTGGTTAAGAAAGTAATTTATTGATTCAGTTAATACGTGGTTAATGAAGTGATAAATGTTAATTAATGATTATTTTTTATGTAGCCAATATATAAACAAAATTTAGTTTAAATGGTTAAAGCAAAGTGTGGTTGCCAAATTGTATGCTTTTTTTTTTGTACAGCTGACTGTAATGAGATTCCTTTAGAACATCACCTCTTCTGAGTCTCAGTGATTGAAATGATGCTAATTAGGGCCTCACTTAATTCTTAAACTTGGAGTGGGGTAAACATTTTCTTAGTTTAAAATTTTGTAAACAAAAAAAGAAAAACAAAGATCTATGGCCCAATGTTTACAGACTTTATACTTTTTTGTAATTTGTTAAAAAAAAAAAAAGAGAAGAAAACCGTTCGATGCTGATTATCCATGCATAAAATGAAACTAAAAACAAATGTATACGAATTAGTTATCTAGTATATTATGGCTATTCTTCCACAAAACTTGTTTTTCGAACTAATATAACCAAATTTGGCAGTATTTTTAAATGTGATTTATTTAGGTCATATGAGTATGATTATTATTTAAAATAATAACAAGACAATGATAAAAGAGTTCAAACATAAGAGTCTATACACAATCTTAATTTTTCTTACAACTAAATCAATCATAATACTTTTCTTCTTTTCAATATAATTCGATCTTTGAGAGACAATAACAGATATGTTATCTCTATAAATAGAAAATTGTCTTATCCAATAAAATTAAAATTTAAGAAGGTGGTCCTTTTCAGAAATATTTAATTTTTATTTTCAAATATTTATATGAAAAGTGAAAATAAATATTTATTGTTTGTAATTTTATTCAAAAATTAAAAATTAAAAAAAAAAGTATATATTTCATTAATTAAACATAAAATAAGAAATGAAAAAATCTAGAAAAAAACGCCCTAAAGTCTCCCAACTATTTTAATATTAGAAATCAATTTATCTAATAAAACTGGTAAGAGGAATACTCTGGAATTTCCCACTTTATCAACCACAAGAGAAAATAAAATAGAAACTCTGAACAAAATAAAACTCGTCTACGTTGTTCTAGAACAAGGACGAGAAAGTTCTCTTCTTCACAGCATAGTACTTGATCGTTTAGTTTTTTTTTTTTTTTTAATAAAATGAGGTAATGCGTTTGTCTAAAATATTTTAAAATTAATTTCCTATTTTAAAAAAAAAATTATATTTAAAAAAAACCACTTTTTTCAAAAAAAGAAAGGTACTTTTTAAAAATATATTTTATTTTATTTAAACAAAATGACCAATAATCTTATTGGACAAAACTTACAGGTGATTAGGCGTTTTCAGTATAGTTTTTAATCAAAATTAGATGCTGTTTTGGATAACATACATTACCCTTTCATGCAAATGGATTATTAATTTCAAACTCTAATTTTAATTGGCACTGAAAAAAAAAAAAAAAAACTGTCCCTAAATTTTGTCCTAATCATAGGTTAGTTATTTTTTGTTGCACACTGCAACCTTATATTACTTCACGCCTTCCACAATTAATCTGAGGCTGATAAACATCTATGCAGCACAATCCAACAACCAAAGTCCACGTGTCCAAAGCACATCCGAGAATGTTTCCCATTTGGACTTGTTACACTAACAAAACCATTGTTTTACGGTGACAAAGGTTTCATCAAAAAATGGTGGCACCCATTGCTGTGTCTTCTCCAAAGTCCACACTTTTGCAGAAACCCATCTACTTGGGTGACCCAAGTTCAAGTTTTGTTGGGGGTTTTTTGAAGGGTCACAGCTTGCACGTGAAAACAAGGCCACAGAGAAGAGATGTGACCAATTTGGTCGTGGCTTCAGCCACCACCCCAACCGCCACAAACACCAATGCTGGTGGCAGATTTTACTTCAACATCACTGGATTTCCTTTTCCACTTGGTCCTTTCCTCAACAGGCGCACTATTAGGACTGAGGTGTGCCATCTTGCTTTGTCTTATGTTTGGTTTTGTTGCCTATTTTCATCATTGAGTTGATTCTTTTTTTTTTAAATCATGTTATTGGTACTATCTTTTGGCTTCTATAATTACTATTTTCTGTCGAGAAACTTGAATGAAAACTTTTAGTGAGGTCATTGAGCTCATTTGGTTGGGGTTTTCTATTCATTGAGTTGCCTCCTTATGACTTGATGTTTATAGTGATATATGTCTTCTTAGGTGTTCTATTTGCTCCAACATTTTTCTTTTGAGTTTAATTTGCATCATTGCATGCATGTAAAAATCTGTATTTTATCAACTAATCATAAATCATTCCTTGTAAGACTTTTAAAACTAGTTATTGTGAAAGTTAACAAACTATGCAATTTGTTATTGAATGAAAGTTTAAAAGATTGTAAAAAAAATCTTTACAATGTCTGCGTGTATTTATTCTTCTCCTTTTCTAAATTCTCTAGGAACATAATTCCGTGTTATATAGGATAGATTGTAATTTTGAATTTTGATTGAATGAGCAATGAAGAAATTCTTGATACTTGACGTGCAAATCATGTGGCCTATACTTTTATTGGATTCAAATCAAATTCTTTTAACTACTTAGTGAAAAAGTTTTGTTTTGTTTTGTTTTGACTTGACTTTGCACGTAATGCTTCGTAATTAGTCGAATGTTGTTGTTATTTCCTTGTACATAGAAATCCGGTTATTTATTGGGAACATTTTGCTATAAATTTTGTCTGGAAACTCTGCTTTTGAGAGATTAACAGCTCCTATTCTCTTAATCATGGTGTAGGCTGTGAAGGGTTGTATATGGCTATTCGAACAAGAGCAGGCATTAGGATTCAGCAGTGTCTCCACAAACATTAGAATGACGGTTATCAAACTCAAATCTGGGGGCTTATGGGTTCATGCACCCATAGCTCCAACTGATGAGTGTATTCAGGTTCCATTTTGACAACCTAGTCTCTTACTTTGAGCATGCAAACTTGTAATAAACCTTAACGAAAGTAAAAGTAAAACACTGCTTGTGCCATGAAATGTGTAAACTTGTATTAAGCCCCATTATTTTGGTCAATTTTTATAACAACAAAAGTCTTATTTTGTTATGTGAGGTTGGTTACGTTGAATGTACGATGCCATTGGGCTCAGTTAAAGACTTAATTTATCTATTTCGACAAGTTTTACATAGGCTTAGGACCGAGTACGAGAGTCACGAGACATAGTTGGAATTTTTTATAATGATATGAAATTGTCTCTATAAATTACACATTCTTTTGGAATTTGGACTATTTTTACTTGGAACTAATTGAAGTCATTTTGTTCAAGGAATAGCTTCATTTTTTAGACTTTATTTTGAATTCACATGTTGGATTGTTTCACATTTTGCAAACTTTGATTTCTTTAGTAATGCTGATAGGCAATTTCTATGACTTGATCAAGGTTATTTTTCTTTTTGATTCTTGCAGCTTATTAAGGAATTGGGAGCTCCAGTTGAATATATCGTTCTCCCTACTTTTGCTTATGAGCACAAAGTATTTGTTGGTCCATTTTCTAGAAAATTCCCCTCTGCTCAGGTATGGGTGGCACCAAGGCAATGGAGTTGGCCATTGAACTTACCCTTGGAATTCTTCGGCATTTTTCGTGCTAAAACCTTGAAAGATGAAGATTTTTCCGCTCCTTGGGCTGGTGAAATAGAGCAAAAGATTCTAAGCTCACCAGAAGTTGGTAGTCATCACTTTTTGTTACATTTTGGGGTGTGTTTGGTTAAAGAGCTTAATTAAACACTTATTTAATGAGAGTTTGTTACATGAGCTTACTTTGATAAGCTTTACCATGAAGTTTATTGGAATAAGCTAACAAAAGCTTATAAGAAGTTTATAATTTATAAGCTTAACCAAATATTTGCTTAATTAATTGTATAATAAGATCTTCTAAATGCCGTTTAATCCCAATAAATCCATTATGAAAAATCTCATTTGCTTGTGGATTACTCTCAGGAATTGGACCCTATGTGGAGGTAGCTTTCTACCACAAACCTTCAAAAACACTATTGGTGACAGATGCTGTTATTTTTGTCCCAAGACAGCCTCCTGAATGTATAAGCAAAGATTCCTTGTTAGCATCTGCAAAAAATGGTTTGGCTGTGAAACTTCTTAGTAAAGGAAAGGAGGTACCTGATGAACCGGTTGTTGACGACAAAAGGAACCGGCAAAAAGGTTGGCTTTTTTATTATCATTATTTTTTTTTCCAAGATGCACAGAGCACGTTACTTTTTATTTGACATCCAAATCAATTAAACATGATGGTTCTATTTTGCAGGATGGGAAAGAATGGTTCTACAAATATTGTTTCTTGGTCCATCGAATCTCTTAGAACCTAATGCAAGCTTTGCACAGATGTCACAGAAGTTGATTGTTTCACCTATTGTGAAGACTCTGGTCTTCAGCAAAGTTCCTGAAAAGGTAATCTTCTCTCTTATATAATTTCTTTTCTAATAAGAATACTTTGATCTGGTTCTACCTCTTGTAGAGCTATTAATTGAAAACTAACTATTCAACCTTATAATATTTTCTTTTTTACTTTATTCTGACCTGGATGTGGTTGAATTTATCAAAGACAGATGTCCTTCAATGTAAATGATCACTTGAATGTTCCAAGAGTTATGTCCTTCAATTTAAAATGATCATCATTTTCTTTGCAAATTTTTTAAAACAGAGACATTTTGAAACAAGATGATATTTTAGTAACCATTACCAAAAACCTGTCATGATATCCATTAGAATTTAATTAAAATACATTGACAATGTAAAGTTTTTTACATTGTCATTCAATCACA